ACTTTCTTCGGCGTCTCATTCTTCTTGTACCGTTCTCTGTAGGATGGCCTTGGAGAGGTCTTGAAATCTGTTTACGAACGGGTATTCGGCTAGTTGATTAAATTTCAGAAATTGTGGCTATTGTATATCCTCCGCATCCTCCTGCTCTCCCATAACTTGTCAGAATCGTAAGTCTGTTGCATGGTGGTTTGAAGCCTCAACTTGATCTGGTCATTGCCTGGTCCATTCGCCATTCCATTTGACGACATCGTCCGGATTTCTTCGTAATCGCAGCACCTGTTAGACTACCGCCTAGTTGAATCCCACCAAACAAAAACACTACGAAAGTATTTAAAAATACATTTTAATAGTTAAAATACCATTGTGCCGTAGTGGCTTTATTGCCTTGCTTGGGGTGAAACGATAAAAAAAACGAAAAATAGTGAGTTTGCTGAATAATAATAATAATAATAATAATAATAATAATAATAATAATTATTATTATTATTATTATTATCTAAAAATTCGAAAACTTTTCAAACGTTTCTCTCGTGTAACTATGTCCATAGAAATGAAATTCAATTGGATTTAGCATAATGGCGAAAAGAAATTTATAAAAAGATATCTTGCTGAAAATGTTGTTTATATAGAAATTTTAAAGAGGTAAGAGAACTTCAATAATAACTTTTCTCTGTTCGTCGAACGGGTTGATTAAATTTCAGAAATTGTGGTTATTGTATATCCTCCGCCTCCTTCTGCTGTCCTATAACTTGTCAGAATCGTAAGTCTATTGCTTGGTGGTTTGCTCAACAAGAAACCTCTACTTAATCTGGTCATTGGCTGAACCATTCGCCACTTCGATGCTCAAAAATTTAAATGAAATGACAATCGTTATCGCGATGATGGAAAGCGGCCGGATGCATTACCATTTTCCCTTTTAAAATGGGGAAGTTGTTAATTTGGGATGCGACCTGTGCGGATACATTTTCGGCCGGTAATTTGATCAAGTCCGCGGTTGAGCCAGGATCCGTCGCCCGGGACGCAGAGATGAAAAAATAGTTAAATATTCTTCTCTTGCTAATAGATTTTACTCCTGTGGCAGTGGAGACTTCAGGGGTTATTGGCCCTCATTCGATTGCGTTCCTTCGGGAGATTGGCGCGATGGCGTCTCGATTAAGGGACGTGCCTCGCGAAACGAAGTGGCTCTTGCATTGTGTCTCACTGGCTATGGTGCGAGGTAATGCTTTCTCCATCATTGCGGCTGGCAGAGGATAGAAAAAATTGTTTATTGTTACGTTGTTCTGGAATTGCCATCAGTGGTCAACTGTAATTGTTTTGTTTCAATAAATTGTTGGATTTCAAAAAAAAAAATATTTTAGATGTTGTTTAAAAAAATAAAAAAAAATTATCGTTATCTTCTGTCTTCTTAATGTCTGTTCTTTTATTGTCCTCTCTGCTTTTTTTTTTCTCTGATTCTTGGACACTCGTATAAACCCTTGCAAGTCTTCTATTACCTAACTTGGGGATGAAATGGTTAATAAAAATAGTTAACCCTTTATTATTAAAAGTGCGTTGCACATGAAGACGAAAAGGATTCCTAGAGAACAAGAATATACGCCAGCAATTTTGACGGAATAGAAATGACGAAGTAACAATTAAAATTCTTTTTTTATTCTTCCAGTTTTCCAGAAGCCGTAAACAAACTAAACCAATAAGGCTACTTTTACTCTCTTTGGTCGTAAAGTGGAGCTCAAAATAGAACTGCAGTCATTTCCTTGATCAATCACTTTAGAAAAAACGCGGAAAAAGGATGACTATTTTGAAGACGTTGAATCAGGAAGGTCAGAACCATTACAGCGTCCGAATTAATCCTATTACCTCTCAAGTCTGTCTTCAGATCCGCATTGGTAGCTTCTCCAATCCCTCATGGAACACGGACAATGGTCTTTTTTTAATTCTCAACCCTGTGTCAACGAGGCCAAATCTGATTTCACTTTGAGGTTCGGACAAGTCAGATAAGAAAATGGCGGAAATGAGTTGATATGATATTTAGACTCCATCCCCCACATTAATCACCAAAATCTGGCAGCTGATCCCTCCTCCAAACGAGCTATAAATGGCTCAATGTGGCACAAAACAGAAAGTGTGAGGTACCCAGTGTGGGTCAAAATGTCTCATTAAAATCATATATATATATATATATATATATATATATATATATATATATATATGTTCTTCATATTGAGCTCTCAGGATTTCATCATCCTTGGATTTACCAATTCGGTCCAAGTTCTCTATAATAAATATATATATATATATATATATATATATATATATATATATATATATATATATATATTTGACATTTTTTTCCATGTAATATCCTAAACAATTGCTCTAGCGTTGTTACCATAGTAATTTTAATTTCAGTAATGAATATGCTTATAAAACGCGTAAATTTCAGGAATTAGTTATTCCGAAAAAAAAAAATTTCGCTTGAAGATGGAACAGAGCTTGGTAATTTTAATTCAATTTAATTCAAATAATTATATTGAAGTTTTCGGCTCTTGTTTTGAAACATGAGAACTCTTATGTAGCGTGTTGAATCATATTTTTAAATAAATAATTATATTTATGCTCTACTTTTGTATCGAGCACTATTTTTAAAATAATAACAAAAATACTAAAGAACATTAGATTATTTACCTAACGAGTTCTTTTTTATTTTTATATATATTTTACACACACACACACACACACACACACACACACACACACACACACACACACATATATATATATATATATATATATATATATATATATATATATATATTATGAAATGGTTAAAATCCAAAAATGATTTTTAAAGACATTTTTTTAGGTTTATAGGTTTTTTTTTAGAGAGACAAATATTTACGTAAATGTTCTGTTTATAATAAATAGTTTTTTTTTATGAAAATTTCTCGGACATTCAGCCAGGTAAATGTTGTTAATACTGTTTATTATAAACAGAACATTTACTTAATTATTTGTATTTATAAAAGAAATTATAAACATAAAAATCAATTTTATTTATATATTTATATATATATATATATATATATATATATATATATATACAGATAGATAGATAGATAGATAGATAATATTTACATATACATATATATTTTAGGATTTTACATGGAAAACGTCAAAATCGTTATATTATTTGCAGACGTGTTATTGCGTATCAAATCATCTTGCAGACAATAAATTCACCAGACAATCGCCAAATGAGATGCATTTCATATGCATCGAAACTCGACTGCAGTTAATCGGATTCTCTGGTAATTGCGGTCAAGTTTCTTGCTAGATAATTACGATGTTGATGCATATTTATTTTATTCCGAGTACTTTCGACATGAGAACTATGTCATCATCAGGGTGAAATTTTTTTACGTGTGAGTAGAAAACCACTAATGTTATGTACTGTAGAATTTTAAATTTAATCGCGTATGATCACGTGGTAATTTTCATTCTTCCTTTAATAAGGATGCTAAGAAACTTGTCTGTAATTACGAGAGGATCTTATTAAAAATAAGTAGACAAAACTAAAATATATAATGAGATATGTCTTAATGTAAACATAAAATATATAACAATATTTATATATATATGAAGAAAAAATACTGAAAAAAACAAAAAAAAATCCTAATATATAGCCTGTTTTGTTTTTGTTGTTTTAATTTTAATGAAAAATTTCGGACGTTTTATGGTCTAATAAAGACCATCTTCAGGACATATTCATAAAACATAATTAACATAGACCATAATTAATGTCCTGAAAGATGGTCTATTAGACCGAAACGTCCGACGTTGACATTAAACATCAAAAAACAGCATAATCGCATATTAGGATTTTTGTTTGTTTTTTTTCAGTATATTTTTATTCATATTGTCGGATCTATATAATAATATTATATATATATATATATATATATATATATATATATATATATATATATATATATATAAATATATAAATATATATATATATATATATATATATATATATATATATATATATATATATATATATATATAGAGAGAGAGAGAGCGAGAGAGAGAGATTAATTGATTATATATAGTAAATTTAATAAACAATTTGAATATAAGATATTTGTGGATCATTGTAATATAAAACATTAAACCTGAAACAGAAAGAGTTCAATGTATTTATTATTACAGAGCAAATAAATAGTAGTACACAATAAAATCCAAAATTACCTCATATAAGGAAAAGACCTATTTTAACCGACGAAAATTTCGTCAGCATTATTCAGCCCCTGTATATAGAAATAGTCTCTGTCACTCTCTCTCTCTATATATATATATTAAATTAACGACAAATATTTACACACTTTTATTTATTAAACATTAAATTCGGTCACTTAGTATTAATTACGTTCACGTTCACGTTAGCCTGATGTATATTTAAGAGCGTTGTTTATTTTTTTTAAAATGACTGAGAAACTAACGACATTTTTTTCTTTTGTTTATAAATACTTTAATTTTTAATAAAGTCCATCTGATAACAAAATGTGTTGCCGAAGATAATTTTTCCTTTGCTAACCACCGTTCTATGAACCTTTCTTCCAAGAGGATGTTTTTCTTCCAAGAGTATGTTTTCCTGATCACTAAAATCTAGGGCTAATCGTTTTATTCCCCAACTATCTGCATAATTCTTACTCTGTAACCCACTACGTCGAGTGGGTCCGGGGCTTTGTACAGGGTGAACCTCACTTGTACAGGGGTAACCGTTATCCACTTCACATATCGAATGGCTCTTGGGCTGGTTATGTCGATGATACAATTTTTAATCAAATCATTATAGTAAGTCTGATAGACCCGACAAAATGCTCCCGAAAATTACGTCAAATCAGTTCTTAACATTTGTTCCATAGCCACCTGATTTTAGGGGTCTTTTAGTTGACAGTCTGGACGTGATTATAATAAAATTGTTTTCCTCTCTTTCTTCTCTAGGCCTGGTGATCTTTAGTTAGCTTTTTAGATAGATAGATGGATAGATAGATAGAACGATTACATGTTTCTTTTTTCATTCTAGATAGATAGATAGATAGATAGATAGATAGATAGATAGATAGATATGAAAAGACTGTGATAGATAGATAGATAGATAGATAGATAGATAGATAGATAGATAGATAGATAGATAGTAAGAACGTCTCTAAAACAACCCTATACCAAAGAATCAGGGTTCGAGATAGATAGATAGATAGATAGATAGATAGATAGATAGATAGATAGATAACAAGAAGATCTCTGGTAGATATACCAAAGAATCAGGGTCCGAGATAGATAGATAGATAGATAGTAAGAACGTTTAAAAGTTATTATAAAAAAAGAATCAGGGTTCCAAATAAATAGATAGATAGATAGATAGATAGATAGATAGATAGATAGAATATGAAGACATGTGATGATAGATAGATAGATAGATAGATAGATAGATAGATAGATATTAATCAGATTGATATATATATATATATATATATATATATATATATATATATATATCAGTCTGTTATATATCTATATATCTACCTATTATAGATAGATACATAGATAGATAGATAGATATAAAAAGACTGTGAAAGATAGATAGATAGATATTGAAAATATGTGATAGATAGATAGATAGATAGATAGATAGATAGATAGATAGATAGATAGATATTGACAGACTGATGGATAGAGAGATAAATATGAAGAGACTGTGACAGATAGAGAGAGAGAGAGAAAGAGAGCGAGCGATGAATCCACCGAAATAGATAGATAGATAGATAGATAGATAGATAGATAGATAGATAGATAGTAAGAACGTCTCTAAAACAACCCTATACCAAAGAATATCTCTATGAAGAATTCTAGTTCTGAAGATTCTTAAATAACTCAGCTTCGACTTTGAAACTTACAAATCCGTTTCTAGCGTTATTATTGAATATTTTCAATTCAAACATTCACCTTTTCACGTAACTGCTTCTCTGTGTACACAGTCGTTCGCCTGCGCACCTTGCATAGACCTACTTAGAAAAGTGTTCCGGGGTTCGTATGTGCTAAGCCGAAGAGGATGCGGCACTGTCTTCAATCAAGCCAATGTAATCTCCCCGAAGATTAAAATCAGAGGTTCGAGAAAACTCAGGCAAGCTCCCGCCCTTTCCGACATTTGTTGTCTGACAAAGACACGCATAAAATCAGAAATTAAAATGGCGTGTGCAGTTTCGTTTGAAGTGGGGGGGGGAGTAGAGCCAAGGTAACAGACAGAATACAGATTATAAAATGGGCAAATGTGAAGAAAGAAAAGTGCGCCAAGTAAACAAAAAAAATAAAATAAAATAAAAGAGGCGGGAAGAGTTCAGTATTTCAATTTTTTATTTTCTAAGATAGAAGCCATGTTTGAAAATTCAGATTGACGTGACTGTGAGTCACACTGAAGCCATTTTTTAATAGACTAAGCATCGTTTACTTGTATTTATGAAATTTAAAACAAATGAATTCATTACTAAAATAATCGATTATAAGAAGCTAAAAAAGCATTTTTACTATATATATATATATATATGTCTTAAGATATTTTTTATTTTTATGCGTTCTTTTTATAGATACAAATACTTAATTAAATGCTCTGTTAATAATAAACAGTATTAACGACATTTACCAGCCTGAAAGTCGGAGAAATTTTCATAGAAAATATATGTCCTCCGACAGGAATCGAACCTGTATCCTATATGGAACCGTCATATAGCCTGACGTGCTTTTACCGATTGAGCCACAGCGTAGCGTTTCGGTTAAACTACAATGCTTCATGATTTTCTCTCATGCATTCGTATCTGCTCGATGCGTATCCAATGTAAACAAATGACGTCAAACATTATGAAATGCAAAGTCCGACAATTATTTTAAGACCATTTTTTATGTTTAAACGTTCTTAAATGTCTTAAAATAATTGTCGAATTTTGTCCATTTCATAATGTGACGTATATATATATATATATATATATATATATATATATATATATATATATATATATATAAAGGTTATTGGTGAGAGTTGAATTAGACCAGGAAACAGTAGTATTAAAAATGCAGTCAATACACGTATAATAAAATGAAATAAAATAAAATTTGACATAGAGAGCTTTTAAATTTAACAAAAAAATCGATATTGATCCTATCGCGCTACCATGGTTTCAATCATTCAGACGTTCTGTTTTTGTTCCGGATTTAAAGATTTAGCTCATATCGCCTGAAGATGCCGACAGGTTGAAACCAAGGAAGTGTGATTGGCTGATCTCCCATTTTTTCAAATATATATTTATTCCCTCCTTTTATTATAAACGTTTAAAATTGAATGTAATGGTTTCGACTGGAATTCGAACTCGGCTCTCCGATTCCTCAATCTGAGCCACTATCCATTACTCCACCGTACCTGCGGAGGGTCGTTTGGGAACCTTGTGGCACTTAGTGCACCAGGTCTCTGTATTCAGCCCTTCAAAAAGTGTGGATGGTCCTGCACGAAACCTTCACCACTATAATCAAATCTCATGTGCTGTTGTTGGACTGTCGGTTTCCTAGGAACTGATCTGGGAATTCGATGGGAGAGTCGAATAATATATATATATATATATATATATAACCAATTTGTGACTGGTAATGATAATTCCAAGGAGGATATTAATCCAGAGAGAGCTCAATGTAAACTACAGATAATAATAATATATATATATATATATATAGTGTCGTTTTCATAATCAGATATTACAAGGATGAAATATCTTTCTAAACTGTTATGATCCAAAATGATGCTTGATATTTCATCATTGTAAAAATAACCTTGCGTTCAGTGATGATAGAAAATAAGGATATTTCATCATCCCTGAAATAAAGATTAAAAAAAAAATATTCATTCTAAAAGCAACCTTGCCACCAGTGATGAAAGACTAAAAAGATATTTCATCATTACAAAATCTGATTATAAAAACGGCCCTTCGACCACAAGTAGGTCCCGTAGGAGTAGTAAAAAGACCCAACACTCATTTATCCTCATTCCGCCTTGAAAATCGAAAACTAACGATATCAAACGTTATCCTCAACAACAAAATTCTCAAAAATATTAAAAAAAAAACAAGTAAGCACAAAATAAAAAGTAATGATGATTTTTTATCTTTATTCCCGGGATGATGTAATATCCTTATTTTCTCTCATCACTGATGGTAAGGTTATTCTTACAATGATGAAATATCAAACATCATTTTGGATTATAACAGAATCATACAAGTTCATTTGTAACTCTTAGAGTTCTTGACTCGATCGTTTCTAAATAGAGTTCTTGTCTAAAGATTCTGAACCTGTAAAATTAAATAAAAGAACAAATTAAAATTTATTGAAACAAAACAATTACAGTTGACCACTGATGACAATTCCAGAACAACGTAACAATAAACAATTTTTTCTAATCTCTGACAGCCGCAATGATAGAGAAAGCATTAACTCGAACCATGGCCAGTGAGACACGCTGCAAGAGCCACTCCGTTTCGCGAGGCTCGTCCCTTAATCGAGACGCAATCGCGCCAACCCTCCGAAGGAACGCCATCGAACGAGGGCCAATAACCCCTGAAGTCTCAACTGCCACAGGAGTAAAAAAAAATCTATCAACAAGAGAAGAATATTTAACTATTTTTTTCATCTCTGCATCCCGGGCGACGGATCCTGGCTCAACCGCGGAATCGATCAGATTATCTGCCGAAAATGTATCCGCACCGGTCGCATCCCAAATCAACGACTTCCGCATTTTAAAAGGGAAAATGATAATGCCATCCGGCCGCTTTCCATCACCGCAGTCGAGGCCTACGGGTTCGATTTGGGAAGGGAACCCAGCTGCTCCAAACCTCTTCTGATGATGTCGTTTATTAAATAAAATAAACCTTTGTTCTCTTTGCAGACTTAACATGAGATTTGTTTCTATTTATTTTTTCGTGATGTAAATTACAGTTATTGGTATAGTGTGTGTTAAAAATATTCCCAATGTTACTTTCTTTTGTTTCTTAAAAAGTTTATGCTTACTTACTTTTTTTGCTTGTTCCGAGTATTTTGTTGTTGAGGATAACGTTTGAAATCATCAGTTTTCGATTTTCTAGGCGGGATGAGGACACGTGAGTGTTGGGTCTTTTTACTACTGCCACTGGACCTGCTTGTAGTGGAAGAATCGTATTTATGATCATGAAATTTCAGATTTTTTTTTCTATCATCACTGGTGGCTACGTTGTTTTTAGGATGGTGAAATTCTTTATCTTTATTTCCGAGATGATGAAATATCCTTATTATCTATAACTGAAAACAAGGTTATGTTTACAATAATTAAAATATCAGCTTCATTCTGGATTATAACAGAATCATACAAGTTCATTTGTAACTCTGAGAGTTCTTGACTCGATCGTTTCTAAATAGAGTTCTTGTCTAAAGATTCTGAACTTGTAAAATTAAATAAAATAAACCTTTATTCTCTTTGCAGACATAACATGATAGTTGTTTTTTTTTTCTTTTCTGTGATGTGAATAACAGTCATTGGTATAGTGTGTGTTAAAAATATTCCCAGTGTTACTTTCTTTTGTTTCTTTAAATGTTTATGCTTACTTTCTTTTTTTGCTTGTTCCGAGTATTTCGTTGTTGAGGATAACGTTTGAAATCGTCAGTTTTCGATTTTCTAGGTGGAATGAGGATACGTGAGTGTTGGGTCTTTTTACTACTGCTACTGGGCCTGCTTTTTGGTGAAAGAGTCGTATTTATGATCATGAAGTTTCATTTTTTTTTTCTATCACTGGTTGCAAGGTTGTTTTCAGGATGATTTTTTTTGAACTCTATATATATATATATATATATATATATATATATATATATATATAAACAAATATATATATATATATATATTTCATCATCCCTGAAATATCCTTACTGATGACAAGGTTATTTTTAGAATCACCATTCTGGATCATAACAATATTCGTTAGAAAAAAGTGAACTACCATGTTATATAGAGAGGAAACTAAGGGCAATCGAGCGCTTGATTCAACAGAAAATTCATCCGAGTATTCCTTGAACAATTGACAGTTGAAAATTCTGAGACATATAATGAGGAAAGAGTGCTTGGAGAATTTGAGACTCAAAGGATATATTACAAGAAAGAGAGAAACCACGAATAACCCATCATGTTTTTTGCAAACGGATGACAAACAGTGTGAGATAGTAAAAATCAAACATTAAGATCAACAAAAGATAGGAAACTGTCTATATATCTGAGATGAGGTATTATGTACACTATTTACATTATTCGGACTATTGTCCTGATCTTTGTCGCCATATTTATTACAACGTTTCGGCCCTTCAGTATCTGTCTATATTTCTGAGATGAGGTATTATGTACACTATTTACATTATTCGGACTATTGTCCTCATCTTTATCGCCATATTTATTACAATGTTTCGGCCTTTCAGTATCTGTCTATATTTCTGAGAATAAATAGGTATTATGTACACTATTTACATTATTCGGACTATTGTCCTCATCTTTGTCGCCATAATTATCACAACGTTTCGACCGTTGTACGCTTCGGCCTTCTTCAAGTGGTTGGAATGTCGAACTGAACCCTTTATTTCGCTCACTGGGGTAGACTGTTCTAGTTCCACGTGCCATGCGAAAACATGATAACAGCAAAAAATTGCAATATGAGCTCTAATAAAAACATGAAATGATAACACTAAAATTGCAATATGAGCTCTGGTAAAAACATGAATGATAACAGTAAAATTGCAATATGAGCGCTGATAAAAATGGTTGCTGAAGACATTAGGTTTATATTACCCAGAAATTCATACACAGATGTCCTCAAGAAAAGGTGTTAGTTAGATCCAGTGACAGGACCCAAACAGTGTGAGTTCAATACCCGGTTAAGTCAGTGGAGAACTTTCAGAGGGAAATTAACAGGAGATAACTGATAACTGACAACCATTAAACATGGCACGTGAAACAAGAACAGTCTACCCCAGTGAGCGAAATAAAGGGTTCAGTTCCAAATTCCAAGAAGGCCGGAGCGTACAACGGCTGAAAATAATGTCCGAATAATGTAATCAATTTAAAAAGATAGGAATGATCATTCACATGCTCAATTTAGCTAATACTAGCAGTATAGCCCGGCGTTGCCCGTGCTTGATTCAAAAAATCGTACGACTCATACAGCAATCGCTTTATCATTTGACTTAAAATATTTTTGCCCTTCCTTGCCTTTTTAAAGGAGTGCCTTTTGCCGTGCTGATGTTGCTACATGCCTTACTTCTTGCCTATCTCACACTGCGAATTTTTCTAAGCTCTATACTAAACATTAAATCTGTTACGAAAAAGAACTAAACAAAATGAACACAAAACGATCAGCTTTAAAAAAAGACTCGTAACTGGAAAAACCGAATGAAAAAAGAATGTTAACAACAAATACTTTTTCACATCCAACCCAGTTCTGCGGAATCAGAATCAACGTCGAGTTTAAGCAAGCAAATGAGCCAATTGGAGTAAAGTGCCACGCAGATTTAAATTCTTCGCACTTGTGACGAATGCAGCTATCGATTTTTTTTTTTTTGCATGCTAGTTAACATTCCTGTCAGTCAGCTGTTGGCTCTCACGCTGGCCAATACAATCTTCCTGCCTATTTGTTGCGGCCAGCTATAGGCTCTCACTCTGGCCAATAGAAAATGGCCGCAAACTACATGAAAACTGCCGTAGAAGCATGAAAAAATCGATTATTTCCACTATCGATGGGAGTTGGGAAATGCAATGTCGGTGTTGGCCTTCCCGCTAACTTGGAGCATGTGCATGTAAATTTTGGTGAAAATCCGTCGAAAATTTCGGCCGTGCATTCGTTACACGCACACACACATCCTGCCTTTTATAGATAGAGATTATATCTAAAATGTCTAGTAGGTGAAAGTAGGTAGCTTATTTTAATGAGGTGTCCAATATTTGGGGAATTCTAGCGTCTGTAAGACGTAAAAATTGTAGTTGGAAGCAATACCAAATTATTCAGTTTGTTTTCGGAAATTAAATGTAAAGTTAAACATAGAAAATCGGGATTTTTCTTTTAGCAATATGGCAGGCTGTATCAAGTTTAGTCAAATGTTCCTGTTGCGCACGGCCTATCTCGGAAAATTTTCACCAAAAACAAATTTCATTAACGTACTGTAAGTTTATGGAAAAATATGGAAAATAGTTTTGTTTTTCGCATTCACAAAGTTAAAAGTGAATTTCTGTACATCAGAAGTAAGGATGAATGATATTAAAAAGTTACTTCCGTTGGGGGAAAAAGGCTTTCTTCAAAAGATTAAATCTAGATTTACAATGTTCATTTTTTAAAAAAATAAATAATTTCTCTTGGATGAATGCCGTCAAAATTCTGCAAATAATGTTTTTTAATCCGTGAAATTTCAAGGTTTTTCCTATCGGAAAATTCTGACGCATCTTAAATGTTAAGTTAATGATTGATAAGCTCATGGCGAGTTCTACGACAAAAAAATGTCTGTAGAAAATCCCCTATCGTATCGTTAAGTATTTGAGCTTAACAACTTTTAAAAAAAAATATTTCAGTAACAATAATAAATATGAATGCTGGTCGTTATTTAAAGAAGTAAGGGGGTACAAATGAAAAGATTTGAAATTGATATTTTTTTTCAATTTCACTAAAGCAAACGTTAAACGCATCTATCTATCTATCTATCTATCTATCTATCTATCTATCTATCTATCTCAGCCTGTTCATTATCTATCTATCTATCTATCTATCTATCTATCTATCTATCTATCTATTTCAGTCTGTTCATTATCTATCTATCTAGATATCTATCTATTTGCCTGCCTATCTGTTTCATCTTGTTTATCTATCTATCTATCTATCTATCTATCTATCTATCTATCTATCTATCTATCTATCTATCATATCTATCTCATCAGTCTATTATCTATCTATCTATCTATATCTATCTATCTATCTATCTATTTTCAGTCTGTTCATTATCTATCTATCTATCTATCTATCTATCTATCTATCTATCTATCTATCTGTTTCTTTGTGTTCATTAGAATCTATCAGTACATTATCTATCTATTTCGGTCTATACATATATATCTCTCTGTCGCTCTCTCTCTCTCTCTCTATATATATATATATATATATATATATATATATATATATATATATATATATATATATATATATATATATATTTCTTTTTCAAACTTTTTTTTTTTTCTTTCGTACATATGTCTTGTTTTTCTACGCAATCAAAACGGAATAGTCTATTATTTATGAGGTATTGTCAGGAGACGTTAAATACGTCTATCTTCCCTTCTTTCTTTCTTTCTTTCTTTCTTTCTTTCTAGCATAATTTCTCTTGATCTTAACTTTCGCAAATTTTCTTTCTTTCTTTCTTTCTTTCTTTATTCCGTTCGTTCGTCTGTCTGTTCGTCTGTTTGTTCGTTCGTTCGTTTATATGTCTTGTTTGTTTGTTTGTTGCTTTCTTTCAGATATCTTGTTTTTCAACGCAATCAAGACATTATTTATGAGGTATTCTCAGGAGAGGTTAAACACTTCTACTTTTTTTCATTCTCTCACTGAAATCAAGTATCATCTTTGAAATTATTTATGCGGTATTAGCAGGAGACGTTAAACAAGTCTTTCTTTCTTCTTTTTTTTTACTGAAACCAAGTAGCGTCTCGGATATGTATTTTGTCTTTCCACGCAATCAAAACAGTATAGTCCATTATTTATGATGTATTGGCAGGACGTAGCGGTCGTGCGAACTGTGCAGCTAACGAAAAGAGGGACAAGCAAAATCATTATATGATTTGGAAAAGGTTAACTTAGCTTAAGCCTTTCGTCCCTGTGTTCCTGAACAATTTTAACCCTATTGCCTGATCGCCTGTGTCAAAATTCGCAAATAATTAGGATGTAATGTTTCACGGTAGATATAAAAATAGCTACAAGTGTTTTCCCACCGTTCAACTGGTGGCTGGGTATTAAGTCATTTTTCTTTACCACTGTACAACCGGTGGCTGGGAATTGCGTCATTTTTTCCCTATCATCGGTAAAGCGGTGGTCAGGGCTCAAAGTATTAAAAGATTCAATTTTATATCGAAGATGTCTTGTTTTGGAGCCTAGAGGATTACTACCATATCTATATTGGAGTTGTCCAATTCTTACTTTCCAAACTTGACGGAGTTCAGAAGCATTTACACTGCCTTGCGGGTGATTAATTATTTTCAACTCTGTAATGTTCTTCCCACAGACAGAACGTTGCAAGCCGATCGTTTTTATGTCGCTATTTCCATGACAAATATTCAGACGTAGTATATTTCGTAGGGTAACTGGTCAGAGTGTCCCATAATGACGAATGGATGAAATGCCGACCAAAGTGTCTAACAAACAAATTATCAAGCGAACAAAATGTCGAATGGACAAATTATCAAACAAAAGAAAACAAACAAAATCGGACCATTCGTCTTGTACATTTATAAATCTACTATTCGCCCGTGCATTGAATACTGTTGCCATATCTGGTCTGATTCTCTTACTGTTCATCCTGACAAAATTTAAAGAATAATTTGCAATGTAATCGATCCTGACCTGGCATCTCAACTTCAGTCAATTTCTCACCAACATGAGGTTTTCTTTGTCTTTTCTAGAAATATTTTCATGGCAAATGCTCTGACGAACGTTCAAATGTTCACCCGCTTAATATGAATAACGTTTTCTTTGTCTTTTTCTCGGGTTGCACGGTCGCCAGTAATAGGAACAGCCCGAAATACGATTTGCAGGTCGGAAACACTAGCTAGAATCAAGCTGAGACAGTAGTTTAAATACCTGGGAAGCGTTTTGACAAAGGACAGTAAGTGCAACACTGAGATCCGTAGACGTATTGAGATAGCCAAGGACACATTTCAAAAGCTGGGTAGAGTATTGCAAGACAGGAGGATTCTTTGGTAACAAAGAAAAGAATACTGAGCTGTTACGTGACATCTGTCCGTCTTTACGATTTGGACGATTTCCCTAAAGATGAAGAAGAGACTCGAGGTGACAGAGATGTGGTTCTACAGAAGGATGATAAGGATATCATGGACTGAGCGTGTGAGCAACAATGAGGTCTTAGAGTGGTTACAAACTAAGAGAAGGTTTATTAAGTATAAGCCATTGTTTGTAACCACTCTCAGGAAGGGGCAGCTGAAGTTTCTGGGACACATAATGAGGAAGGAGGGCCTGGAGAATCTGATACTCACGGGTCGAATAGAGGGAAAGTGAGACAAGGGAAAACAACGCACGACATACCTAGCGGAGTTAAGCAAGCGGATGACAGGACGTGGTTTGGGGGAGTAAGCAGAGGGAAGGAGCTTGCTGAGAGCTGCAGAGGATAGAGGGAGGTGGAGAGCCATGATCGCCTACGTCCTGAAAAGAGATGGCACATAAAAAAAGAATGTAGAAAATTGCCAAATTGTATTGTTAAAGTGTTTTTCTTCCGGGTAACGTGACATAGACTAATTGGTCTAATCATTAAAGTAATGTTCCGGAAGATTCCCAGATAATTTTTTTTTTTTTTTTTGCTCAGTCCTTTTAATTCTATTAAATGGTGCAATATAATTAATACTATAAAGAATTAGCTATATATATATATATATATATATATATATATATATATATATATATATATATATATATATAAGACAGGATGTGTGTGTATGTAACGAATGGACGGCCGCAATTTTCGACGGATTTGCACCAAAATTTACATGCACATGCTCCAAGTTAGTCAGGAAGCCAAGACCGACATTGCATTTCCAACTCCCATCGATAGTGGAAATAGTCTATTTTTTTCATGCTTCTGCGGCAGTTTTCATGTAGTTTGCCATTTTGTACTGTCCAGAGTGAGAGCCAATAGCTGGCTGCCACGAATAGGCAGGAAGATTCTATTGGCCAGCGTGAGAGCCAAAAGCTGACTGACACGAATGTTAACTAGTATGCAAAAAGAAATCGATAGCTGCATTCGTCACAAGTGGGAAAAATTTAAATCTGCATGGCATTTTACTCCAATTGGCTCATTCGCTATATTTAAACTCAACGTTGATTTTGATTCCGCAAAACTGGGTTGGGTGTGAAAAAAAGTATTTGTTGTTAACATTTTTTTTCGTTTTTTTCGAGTTACTTTTTTTTTTTAAAGCTGATCGTTTTGTGTTCATTTTGTTTAGTTCTTTTTTCGTAACAGATTTAATGTTTAGTATAGAGCTTAGAAAAAATTCGCAGTGTGAGATAGACAAGAAGTAAGGCATGTAGCAACATCAGCACGGCAAATGGCACTCCTTTAAAGGCAAGGAAGGGCAAAAGTATTTTAAATCAAGTGATAGCGATTGCTGCATGACTCGTACGATTTTTGAATCAAGCACGGGCAACGCCGGGCCATACTGCTAACATATATATATATATATATATATATATATATATAATGGATACATGGACGTTGTAATTGGTCTGTGGGTATTTGTTCTGCGGAGAGAAATAGCAATTCCTTTTTCTTATAACCACGAAAGAAAAATCTTGACATAAATAAATTTTGGCAGCGAACGAAGTTGGGGGGAGAGGTGGATCCTTTGAACAGACCGCGGGGAATAGCGACCCAGAATAGACCGACCTTTTACTTGTTATCTCGGGAATTCCATCTTTTTCATCATTATCCTACCACTTTGGAGGGTCTTTTTTTCCCCGTCACTCTGTGTTTTGATCCAGCTTTGAAGTGTCGCTTTCACTTGCTTGTAAAAGTAAAATAATTATTAAAAAAAAAAAAAAAAAACGTTTTCCACAAACATTGATTTATACCACCCTTCAACAATACTCGACTCCCTCCACGTGATGCATCCATTTATGCCATCCATTTGCACAAACTTACTTCTTATTCTTCTTTAGTGTCGTGGGTGATCATGACTCTCCACAATTTCCTGTCCTTCGTAGCACTTACTAAGCTTTGGCTTTTTGCCATCTTTCCTTAATCCTAACCTCTTTATCATTTACCCAGGCTCGTACTTCTTCTATGTGCCATATCCCTTTAGGGTGTGGGTGATCATGGTTCTCCGCGATTTCCTGTTCTTTGTAGCTTTTTGTAAGATTTGTATTTTTGCCATGTCTTTTAGACCTTGTTCTGCCATCCATTTGTACAAGCTTGTTCTTCTTTTTTTCTATGTACTGTGTCCTTTAAAAACATGGGAAATCACGGCCCTCCACTATTTCTTTTCCTTTGTAGCTCTACGTAATATTTGTCTCTTTGCTATAACTCTCTGTTCTGCCGTATATTTGCACATACTCGTTCTTCTTCTTCTTCTTCTTCTACGTGTCCCTTCAGGTCGTATGCAATCATAGCCCTCCACTATTTCCTGTTCTTTGCGGCCCTTCGTAAGATTTGTTTTTTGTTTGTTTGTTTTTTCTTTTTTGCTGTCTCTCCTATTTTCTTTTTTTGTCGTTTTGCCATTCATTTACAGAAGCTCCATCTTCTTCTTCTTCTTCTTCTTCTTCTTCTTCTTCTTCCTTCTTTCCTCCTCCTCTCTCCTCCTCCTCCTTTCTTTCTTCTTCTTCTTCCTTGCAGTTTCTTTTCTTCTTCTTCTTCCTTCCTCCTTAATTTTCTTAAAAGACATTCTTCTTTCTTCCTCCTGAGGATCTTTCTTCTTCTTCTTCCTCCATCCTTCTCTTTCTTCTTCTTAAACTTCCTATATTGGAAATTCTTTTATTTCTTTTTTTTCTTCTTCTTCTTTTCTCCTCCTTATTTCTCTTTCTTCTTCTTCTTCTTCCTCCTCCTTCTCTTTCTTCCATTTTTGATTCTTCCTCCTTCTCTTTCTTCTTCTTCTTCTTCCTTGTATTTCTCCTTCCTTCTTCTCTTTCCTCCTCCTTCTTCTTCTTCTTCTTCTTCCTCCTCCTTCTCTTTCTTCTTAATAAAAATCCCTCCTTATGATTTTTTCTTCTTCTTCTTCTTCTTCGTCCTCCTTCTTCTCTTTTTCAGATTCTGATTTTAAAATTCTCTTTCTTTTTTCTTCTTCTTTTTGAATGCCTTTGAACGTAAAAAATCATGGCTCCACTAGTTTCTGTCCTTTATAGCTCTTTGTAGTTCTTCTTTTTGCCATCTCCCCTAAACACAGTCCTGTCATCCATTTACACAGCACCGTGAGTGTCAATTTCTTCAAACCCTCTTTCCTCATTGTGTCCCTAAACGTTCCTACTCATCTTCCTCATTCTGAGTTTAAGTGTTCTTTTCGCTTTCATTTCCTCCAAAATGTCGTCGTTGTTCATATGTTCAGTCCATGGTATTCTCAGTATCCTTCTGTATAACCAGATTTCTATTGCTTCTTCATCTGCGAGGAGATAATCCTGCATTCTCTGTCACAAAGGAAGGCCGATATTAGACAGCAGTTCACAACTCCTTTGTTTCTCACGAAATTTTCTAGTTTCTTAATATTTTGCTTAGCTTTTGGAAGGCATATTTCGCTACGGTAATGAGTTTTATGGATTTCGGTGACACGTTTTCCTTCCTAAATTTTTATTTTGCTTGATTTCCTGAAATACTTAAGTTGTTGCACTTCCTGACAGCCATACATTCTGTTCTCTTACAATTGATGCTTAGTCCTTTCTTCTTGTTTTCTTTTAATACCTTCCCTAAGAATTCTTGGAATTTCCTTTCCTTCTCTGCTATCGACGATGTGTCATCTGCATATTTGATGTTCTTAAGATTGTAGCCGCCAATAATGAATCCTGGTAAGTTTCCTTTTATATTTCCATTTTCTCAAAAACTTCGTCATGTTCTGTCCACGAGCATCTTTCTATAGTACCAGATTTCTGTTGCTTCTTCTTCTGCGAAGTGATAGTCATGCATTCTCTGCTATGAAGGAAGATCGATATTAGATAACAGTTCAGAACTCCTGTGTTTCTTACAAAATTTTCTAGTTTCTTAATATTTTGCTTAGCTTTTGGAAGGCATCTTTCACTACGGTAATGCGATTTGGGATTTAGGATTTCGATCACACGTTTTCCATCCTAAAATTTCACTGCCTGATAGATGGTCTGATATTACGTAACATTTCATTACTCTTTTGTTTGTTTTCAACGAAATTTTCCCTCTCTTAATTATGAGGGGGCGATGATCGTATTTTCCAGAACCAAAAGATTAAATATATATATATATATATATATATATATATATATATATGAAGAAATATAGTCTTAAAGTGTATATATTTATGGGATAAAGTGCTCGATATCAGAGATAGATGATGATGTAAATATAAAATAAAACATAGCATTATCAAAAGTCAACAATCTGACGATTGCATATATTTCATGAAACAGACTGTCGTTTCTAAGTGTTGACTTTATGTTCATATTTGATATTTATATATATATATATATATATATATATATATATATATATATATATATATATATATATATATATATATATATATATAACTCTTCCAAGTCAGATAAGTTATCCCTCTTCTTCTTAGGCGATCATGTCTGTCCATAATTTTCTAAAATCTTAATTTCAATGATGGAAGTCAGGAATGATAGTCAAGACTATGATTCAAAGGTTCTTCTTCTATGTGCCGTGACCCTTCAAGACGTCAGCGATCACGGCTCTCCATAACGTCCTTTACAGCTCTTACTAAATTTTATCATTTTGTTAACTCTCCTAAACCATGCGTTGTCTGACTCTATTGCCATCAATCTGTCCTGTGAGTATCAAATTTTCCAAGCCATCTTTCCTCATAAATTTGCCCTAAAAGTTTCAACTGTCTCGTTAAGTATAGGTTTCCTTTTTGTTTCCATTTTCTCTAAACCTTCGTCGTTGTTCACATATTCGGTCCAGGGTACTCTCGGAATCTTTCTCTAGAACCACATTTCTGTTGCTTGAAGGTACTTCTTCATCGGCGAGGAGTTTGTTCAGCTTTCACTGCCTTATAGATGGCCTGATATTACGTAACATTTCAGCACGCTTAAACTTTGTTTCAAACGAAAAATTTTCCCTCTCTTAATACTCTGCTTAACTTTTGGAAGGCATCTTGTCTATCCCAATGTAGCTTCGGATTTCAGTGTCGTAATTTCTCCCTTCCGTTAAATTACTTCCCAGATATTTACATTTTGAATTTTTTCCAATTGTAGAAGGGTTACGTTAAGGTTGTTTAAAAGGGATATAAAGGGACAATGACGGTTGACTCTTGACCTGAACGGGTTAAGATTGTATGATCGGGGAATCACTCTCTTGGGAGTCTGTTCTCTAAGGGAATGTTACGCGGGAAGAAGCTGTTAGAGTGGAACTTACTTCTCAACAACAGAATATGGAAGAAATAAGTATTGAAACAAATTACAATGTTTTTATGCGGGTCCTAGCTATGGATGTCAGACCTGGTGGAACTGGGAGATGCACTTCGCCCGAGCAGGTAATTTGGTTTGTAATTTGGTTGGAAAGTCTCGAAGACTTAAATAAAAATCAAAAATACTAAACGTATGCAGGATGAACTCGGTGGAAATTCATGTGTGATTACAAGAATTGGTAAAGATGGGGATCCCATGGACTATCCGTTTTGGATACCTCAACTGAGTACTTGACGCTTCGTACAAGACTTAATCGCTTTTAGTGTGGCCGCTTGACCTTTCTATGGTAGTAGCAACAGAGCAGTGAAAAACTGGCCATATGCCGTCAGTGACAGAAAGGTTGGAGCGTGGAAAATAATTCTTCTTCAACAAGGACCCAGACGCTTTATCAAGTCTATTAATCATGTATTCCCTCTTCTTGTAAACCCCCATTAGAATATCTGACAGTCAACTTCTTGAGAGCAACTCTCTGCGTCTGCTCGGTCTCACGTTGACTGCTGACCTGAGATGGAACAAATACATTGAGTCAATTGCTTCGTCCACCGCGAGGAAAGTTGGCTCTCTGTACCGCGCCAGGAAATTTTTCTTCCCGGAATCGATACTTCAAATATACAAATCAACAATTCGCCCTTGCATGGAGTATTGCTGCCATATATGATCTGGGGCACCTTCTGTTTACCTCAGAGTTCTTGACAAGATCCAGAGACGGATATGTAATATAATTGGCCCTGCTCTGGCATCTCGTCTACAGTCACTCTCTCACAGACGCGCCGTCGACTCTCTCTGTCTTTTTTACAAATACTTTCATGGTAATTGCTCCGATGAGCTGCTTTCACTGGTTCCCAGACTCCATGAATTCAAGCGCCCTACGAGGCTGGCATCCCGCTCTCACCCTTACACTGTAGAAACTTTTAAACGTAGCCGTTTCTTCTACTCCAATAGCTTCATGCCTCGCACCTCTCGCCTGTGGAACACCCTTCCCTATTACTGTTTCCCTGGGAGTTATAATCTCCAGCTATTCAAATGTAATGTTAATCGACATCTCCAGTTACCTTGATATATCCACTGTCCCTCTCCTCATCCTTTCTTCTATCACTCCTATCTGCTCTCGCTCCAAATCTTCTGCAACCCCCTGCATTCTAGTGGCTTCACGCCTTGCTCGGGGCTCACGTTTAGTCCTTTCATCTCGTTTTCTTCACTACCTTCAGAGGAAGTTCTTTTAGGTTACTTTCTGTGTCTGCTATCAACACTATATCACCTTCAAATTTTATTTTGTTAACATGATGCCCGCCAAATATTCGGAGGACTTTTAATTCTCTCACGCACAAAAAAAAAAATCCATTCGTAATCAAAAAGTAAAAAAATCTCCTCTAAGTTTGCCCATTATGCTTGAAATATATGAACATTCATTAACAGAAACACTTTTCCGGGTATGAGCGAAGGCTATGTAAAATGTTGGTAATTTGGTTGGAAAGTCTCGAAAACTTAAATAAAAATCAAAAACATTAAACGTATGCGGGATGAACTCCGTGGAAATTCGTGTGTGATTACTAGAATTGGTAAAGATGGGGGATCCCATGGACTATCTAGGATTTATACAGATGTTTTGGATACCTCAATTGACTACTTGACTCTTCGTACAAGACTTAATCGCTTTTAGTGTGGCTACTTGACCTTTGGTATAAAAACCGAAAGTGGGTGTTCATTAGATACCAATGCTATTTATTTAAATGTCACCGAGAAGAGAACGCGCGACTGGTAGCACGTGGACGCTTTCAGCAAAGCAATGAACATTAGATTGTGAAAGCTTAGTTGTTTAAAAGAGGAAATAAAATACGTTTGAGTGTCGTCTAGAACAGAAATTAAGGAGTAAAACATTTTGAGGATACATAAGTACTAATTTTTCAAATAGTATTCCTTCAATAAATCATATAATATATATATATATATATATATATATATATATATATATATATATATATATATATATATATATATATATTTATATATATATATATATATATATATATATATATATATATACACATTTATATTTATTTACACACTCACACACACAAACACACACACACATATATATATATATATATATATATATATATATATATATGTATACTTTAAAGACATCTTACTGCATTTTCTGGGTTTTTTATAACACTACTGGACTCTACTTTGAGCAATAAGAATGTATAATTACTCTCCAAGTTTAACAGAAGAATCGTTATGAAATCGATCATAAACGAAAATGACATCTTCATCATTAATTAATCATAGCTCAGGATAGGAAGTTCATGAAGGATTGATATAAAATCATATATATATATATATATATATATATATATATATATATATATATATATTATTCAAGAACTCTTATCGAACTTATTTAAGATGATCTTCGCCCTCTCTAACCTTCTAACTTTCTGTCCTGAATAACAGGGTGCCTCATACATTTCACATACGATTTCATTTACAATTCTTTTTTCGCTACTCTTTGGTCTATCATATGTTAAACCCCTCGCTCACGTGCCAAACGTCTGATGGATAGAGTTGGATCTTTTCTAATTGATCGCTTTGGCACTAAATTGAAATGATGATCCCTTTTGCTGTTGGGACCTCGTGA